AAAAATATTGTATTTAAAACTAAAGATATTAATAAATGTACATAATTTTTTTCATATGAATATAATGATGATTTGATTTTTGGTGAATTTTTAAAATAATATCACCTGATTGACCTATATTGTCTTTGGACAATTTACAAAATTAACGTAAACAAGATGGCAGTGGTAAAGGATTAAATATTCACTGACCAATCTATTGAGCATGTGTTCCATCAAGATTATGGGTGAGCAACACTAGTGTATTACTGGCCTTATGCTTTTCCCAGGTTTCACTTACGCTACATAGGAGCCACTAGAGTGTCTCTGAGACAGAGGATTAAGAAACATAAAGATAATGTTTGGAAGGAGAAGCCAGTTACAGCTTTAATGGCCTATGCGGTAACAGAACCAGATTCTATAATGGTAGAATGAAATTGAGCAGAAATAATCTAAATGGTTCATGAAGATTGATGGATTAAATATGAGGAAGCTTGGCACATTCATAAGGCCACAGAGAGGGGACAGGCAATAAATTATAGAGAAAACACTATGATTTCATTAGCCTGAAAAGTATTGCTTGATAAAATATAAAGGCAAGCTAAGTAAGAAGATATTTCAAGATGGATAGTATTTAGGTTACATGGTAGTGTTTGATTTGCTAGTACAGAGATTGTAAGTACTGTACTGGAGTCAAGTTTATAAAGTATAATTTAGAATTTTTTGCTTGGTTTATATCACAATGTATACATTTTGATTTTTATATAGTTTTGTTTTTTAGTTTTTTGCCACTAATTGCAATATTCCATTTAACACACAAAAGTCTGACAAGTGCATTTTAAAAATTTGTTTAATTCCAAAAAGAGAATGTTGTAAACCATTACAGAATAAGTGGCAGGTTTGTTCTCTTTAAATTGTAAAATTTAAATATCTCCTGAAGGTCTATTAAGAAGATTGAAAACATTAGATTACTAAACATTTACTGCATGGTAAATGGTTTTGGTTTTTGTGATTAATGCTGGTGCAGTTACAGAAAGGAATTCCTTCAATTTCATCAAAACTTTTAATATTTTCTGTTAGTAACTCCTGCTTTTTAACTGCTGTCCAATTTTGATTGAAAGAGATAGAATGAAACTTGTTCCTTTCAAGGAATTACCATGCTTACAATAACATAATGGTATTTACTGTCATTTAAGTTACATTCTGTAGTTTTAAATTTAGTTGTTATCCTTGAAGTTTTAGTTTTAGTCGTTGTCATCTGAATTTTTATAGATGAATTATTAGAATAAAAATAATAACTACAGCTGTCCCTTGGTAGTCCGACGTTTTATAATCCAACATGCTCAGTAGTCCGACGCACCTCCTGTCAAGGTACCCGTCACTGTTACGTGTCTGCTTGCACAGAAGCATGTTGCAACGTGAATCTCCCTACCCAATTCTTCACGATGACACACATTTTGTGTGTTTTCCGTGAGCAGTTCTGTTCGAACAGTTGGAGTAGGGAATATTGTAGGCTACTGCTAGCAAAACAATGCCAAATATGTAATCACTTTTGGTAATCCGGACACTTTTGGTAATCTGACACCCCTTTGGTCCCATACCTGTCGTCGGATTATCAAGGGACAGCTGTATTCTAATTCATGATAATGGTGTCAAACTTCACCAATGTTTGTAGAATGATGCAATGAACAAATAGTCCATAAACAGATGTGCAAAAATGTATCTTTGAGATTCTAGATAAGCTTTATTTTGGATGACATACATTACATAGTTGTAACCCATGATTTCTTCCCTTTCATCTGCAAAGGCCTTTGCAGATGAAAGAGAAGAAATTCAGCTTTGTTTTTTTTTAATGTTAAAGTAGGGACTTTCAGGCAACATTTTTCAAGTTTTCTGGCCTTAGGTCACAATGGTCAAGGCAAATTCTCATAGTAATTTCATAAATATTAAGTTTTACATTAAAAGATATAATTTCTGTTTGACAGTTATCTTAAAAAGAAAGCTTTTTGAATATGTTACTTAATTTTTATTATAATATTTGTCATGGGATTTGCATCCTAATGGAAAACAGTTTTTCCATTAGGATGTCCAAATCTGAAAACCTGCAACAATGGAAAACAGTTTTTCCATTGTTGCAGGTTTTCAGATGAATATCTGACACATATATAATGAAAGATGTTATTTGAGGCTGGACCATCTACATTTGATGACTTATCTATACCATATCTTACAAAATTATTAATTGGTAGAAATTTCATGTTACATAAGCATTACAAATATCAGAAAAAATTCTCTCTTGCATTTACAGTACTTTGAGAGAGAGAGATAATACCATTTGCTTTTCTTTAATCTTATCTGACAGTTCTTGAAGTTTGTTATTAACACTAGAACCCCAACAGCAGTCATTTTGACTGATTGAACGTTACTTACTTGCCCACTTAATCAATTTGTCACAGAATGCTGCGATTTTTTTATTTTTCTTGAATTGAATGTTTTTAATTGAATTATCACCAAATTTTATCTTGACAAAAATCAGAGAGTCTTGACTTATAAAGGTGTTTACTTATAACTGCAGAAAGCAGTCATTTTTGACCACTGATTTATTCATTTTATTACTTTTTTTATTTTTTAAATTTTTGCTTTATGTATTTACTTAAGACTTATGAACATTAACACTTTGTTTCTGCTATTCTTATTTGTGTTTTCTGTGTCTTTCTTTTGTTAGAACAACTTTTTGCTTCAGTTTTATTGGAATTATTCATGTAATGTATAAGCAAAATAATGATAGATTTAATTATCATCTTCTTACTGGGGATAAAATTGCAAATATATTAGCACATATTTCTGAATATGAATCAAAAGGTGAATGTATGGGTGACATTCATAATCTATAGCAGCAGTCTGCAACCTTTCTGACCTCATGGACCACTAAACTCACAATTTTGAATCCTGCGGACTACTGTTATGAATTTTTTTAAACAATACAAAATCTGTAGAATAATGATCATAAAAGTTTGATTTTACTATATTAATATGAATCTCATTTGTTTAATTATAACAAATTAATGCAAGCGTAAAGTTCATTGCTGCTTGTTTGAAATATGTTTATGGATTCTTAGTGCTTTTCCACAAAGGACGACAATCGCACTCACAATATTGTTTATTGTTCATTATTTATTGATAACAGTTACTTTGTATTTGGTTTTAGATTCGAATGAAAACCTCCAATGAGTGAAAGAAAGCAACTAAGCATTTTGCATTTCTTTCGTAATACTTTGTATAACCTTCAGTTGATCAATATCCAAATTTCTCCACTGACCACCCAAATTTTCTTGACCACTGGTTGCCGACTGCTGATCTATAGGATAGTGATAACAAATATGTCTCATCCAACAAAATCGGTGCTAAACAGGATAGTGATGTGACTTATCATCAGATCATCATATTATATGACTAATCAGTCTCTCATCAATGAACCATCATCAACTTCTCTACAAAGATGTATAGTATATAATTTACTATACTTTTTGATATGCTGATTCTTACTGGTGTAATATATATGTATGTATGTATGTATGTATGTATGTAAAATATTTTGTTATAAAATAATTTTACATAGTAATATACAGAATAATCATATAGCTATCGTTGCTTGTTTTCTCATGCTAAAAACTTGCTTTTATAGGTGCATGTGTACTATTCATGACAGGCAGCAATGAGGAAATTCCTGTGGATTAGTTTTCAGTACTTAATTTTTTTATATGAAGGAGTTTCCCCAATTTAAGGTGACAACCCTCCTGACCTAATGTCCCTTGAAATTATATAATGTTTTAGAACAGTGGTTCCCAAAGTGGGCACTACCCTTTATGGGCAGTGAGTCTAGGAGGGGCAAAAAGAAGTAAATGGGTGACAGGGGTACTAGAGACAGGGTACTGAATGGAGACCATAGTCAAAGGTTGGGGCCACTGACAACCTTTCACTTTCCTTTTTTAAAACGGGTAAGAAGAAACATTGCATTTAATGGTTTCCAGATGTGAAGAACAATTTACAGTAAGAATACAAATCGTGAGTTTCATTGAAAAGTTTTCTAAAAATATTTCCAAGCCTTTCTCATGCAAAAGAAAATGGGTTAGTGGTGTTGGGTATAAGTTCATGGAACCAAGGGGCAGTGGCTTGAAAAAGTTTGCGATTTACTATTCTAGAATGTTATCAGTAAAATCAGTTTCAAGTTGTAAAAGGCATACTTTGGAATAGCAATCATTTTGACTGCTGTCAGCAGTTTTAAGTGTGAAAAAAGTCTCACAGTTCTAGTGTTAAAGTTCATACATGCTCACTGATGAAAAAGGGTAGACCAGTGTGACTTTGCTTTTCAGTGCTCATTGTGAAGTGTCCCAACATTGGTTTGTCTTAAATCTTTGTCAGATCTTATTTAGATTTGTTAATTTAATTCTATTGGCATATCATACAAAGTTGGGTGGCATATCAATATTTTGGGCCATCCGGGACCTGCTGATAATCAACTTGATCATTTTTACAAATCATGTCTCAAGAATTCAATGATATCTCATCTTTCTTCCTTTCTTGTGCCAGTGTGTCAAGATTTTATTATTTCAAATCCTTAGAATTTTATAACCAATGAATATTGAATGAAATGAAATAAAGAAATTTTTAATAACTTTTTTAAATTATTGTGATTTAGATTCTCTCAATAACAACATATTTTAATAATTGTTTTTTTTTTTATTTTTAGTGTTCAAGAAAGTATTGAGAAAGAAAAAGAAAATAATATAGCAAAAAAGAAACAATCTGTAAAAAATTTTGTATCTACAAATAGAAAAGTCAAGCATAAATTAAATAACGAAAATACTACAAATAATTCTGAAATTAAAACTCCATGTAAAAAATCTGAGCAAATGGAAAAATATACATTATATCCTGAATCCTGTAATCAGCAGAAATACGATGAAATGCAAAATCATAATTATTACGGTAAAGATAATTTTTCCAGTGGTGATTTTGATTTTATGTCAAAGGGAAATTTTCACTCTCCTGATAAACAAAATGTTGGTTATCAGAACTCATTTACTGAAGCAGATCACTGGAATTATCAGTCTTGGAATACTCGATATTTTTATCAACAGTGGAATGGCCAATTTTCAAATAGATCAAGTAGTCATCAATCTGATGAATATTACAATAACTCTTCTGGAAGAAACTTTAATTCATATAGTGATAATTCAAATACAGACAAGTTTAATAATAGTTCTGTAGAGAACAATAACAATAATTATTGCAGACAACAGAATGTCAGATATGGAAAATTGAGATCACAATCTAAACATAATTTAACATTTAACAAATATAAATATGTTAAATCTAATATTAAATCATATAAAAATACCTGTTTTGAGAAAAAAATAAAACAGAAATATGGAATAAATAATCAAGAAAGAGGATATGTAGATAATACACGTGCTAAAGGCACCTTTCCTAAACAAAAGTTATTAAATATAAATTCAGGGGCCAAATTAAACACACAGTTTCCCAATCAGTTTATTTCTTCTTCCAATAAAAATTCTCAGAATTCTAACGTAAAAGTTAGAAATATTGAGATAGAACCTTCAAAATCAACATCTCACATTAGATTTAATGATTTAGATGATACGGTAGTGAATGTTTTTGAAGATAAGGAGGTAAATGAAAATTTTGAAATTCAAAATTCAGATGAAAAGAATGGGAAAAAAACTGAATCAGATGAACTTTTAATTAAAAGAAATCAAAACAATTCTGTACAGCAAACAGATAAAGTTGAAATATTATCATCACATATTAAAAATGAAAATGGTGGACTTGAAAAATCAAATCTATCTGAAGAGGAAAATAAAAATTCAACAGACAAAAATTCTCCAAACATTGAACAAGATACTACTAATTGTACTGGAAAACTTTATAAATTATCTCAATTAATAGAGAAATCAGAAATGGAAATTGGTGCATATAATAAAGAACTAATTAATAGACTTGTAAATTTTCCTCGGAGTAGGAAGGAACAAATTCGTTTAGAACAGTGGATTAAACAACATATTAAAACAAAGAAACGATTAACTTTACCACGATTTAATTTGCAACTTGGCCCATCAGAAAATTCCAAAGAAAAAAATAAGAATTCACCATCTATTTTGCATAGTATGGTATCGGAAGTTGTGAATAGTCTTCCAGAAAATGTTTTAAATTCTGTTGTTTCCGCATTAAAAAATGGTGAAATAGAAAACATTGAACAAAATGTACAGAATGATGGAAAAAAATTTAAAAATAATAGTAATCAGACATCTGTTTTGCAAAAAAAAATTTCTTGTGATTCTATAAATATTACTGAACTGACTTATAATGATAAATTAAAATGGTTAGAAAATTGGATTACTTATAATTTACCTAGAACTGAAGAGAATGTTATCATAAAAACTGAGGCATCACAGTCAACTGAAAATGATTCCGATCAAGATAATGAGTTTTCCAAAGAATGCACCCAACCAGAAAAGGTAAGAAAGTTTTAAGTACTTCTCAATATCTGGTGTGGTAGCTGATGAATATGTAGATTTAGTATGTGTCTCTTTAATCCAAATTAGTAAAAACGGTAGACTTTCTCTCAGCTATTAGGTTAGGTACTCCTTTATTGCAAATCACAAATGTATTTCGGGCCTATATGAGCCCCTCTTCAGTGTAAATGCTCAGAAGACAGAGTAACGCTTTTCTAATTGTATGACACTCACAATGATATTTTATATAATCAAAAAAAACGTGTCCATAGTGTCGTGTATTGAATGACTCTATTACACAGGTACAATTAAAAACCTTAAAACAGTAAATATACATTATTACCTTATATATTATTACAATAACAATAACATGGTATCTTCTTACTTATAACTATACCTGTAAGGTATTTAAAACTGTATCGTGTACTTTAAGACATTATCAGAATACATCATGTTTCCATTACAGTTTATCATATCTGTTAACGTTATTATTAATTAGTTCTTTATTATATGCACCAATTTCCATTTCTATTATGAATACATCATGTTTCCATTACAGTTTATCATATCTGTTAACGTTATTGTTGTAACACATGATTTTTNAACAAACTATTTCCTTCAATTACAAAAACCAAAGCCATTTACCATGCAATAAATATTTATTAATCTAATATTTTCAGACTTAATAGATGTTTAGGAGATATTTGAATTTACAATTTAAAAAGAACAAAGTTGCAACTTATTCTGTCATGGTTTATAACAGTGTTTCTCAATGTCTAACGAATCGTCGCCCCTTCAATAAAACTGTTATGTAGTATCACCCCTTCACTTCAAAATTCTGATGTCCATGGCCAACGCCAAATTCGTACTTCATTGAATAGACTAGTGACTAGTATAATGTTATTTGTTTAATTATTGTATGAATAAAATATCTAATTATTCTTAATATAATGTTTTACTATATCGCCCAGAAAATTGTTTTTCGCCCCCAAAATATAAATATTTACTAATCGCCCCTCAATATGGAAAAATGCCCACATGGGGCGATATTGCCCCCATTGAAAAACACTGGTTTATAACATTCTTTTTTTGGAATAAGACAAATTTTAAAAATGCTCTTGTCAGACTTTAAATGGAATATCACAATTAATGACAAAAACAAAATGATATAAAATCTAAAATGTATACATTGTGATATAAACTAGGCAGAAAAACTAAATTATACTTTACAAACTTTACTCCAGTATGTAAAATCTCTGTACTGGCAAATTAATCACTACTGTGTAATCTAAATACTAATCATTCTTCAGTATTCTCTTATTTAGCTTGCTTTTATATTTTATCAAGCAATACTTTCCAGGCTGGTGAAATTGTAGTGTATTTTCTATAATTTACTTCTATATTTCCTCTGTATGGCCTTATGAATGTGCCATGCTTCCACACATTTAATCCATTTCTTTTCCTGGACCTTTTGGATTATATTTCTGCTCAATTCCATTTTACCATTATGAAATGTGGGTCTGCTACTGCATAGGTTGCTAAAGCTGTAACTAGCTGCTTCTTTTGAATGTTATCCTTATGTTTTTTAATCCTCTGTTTCAGAAATATTCTAGTACCTCCTATGTAGAATAAGTCGTTCTACTTTCTGCTGTTTTTTACTGGTATTCTGTATACATCAAGGATAACTGTTGAGTTGATAGCCTCTTTGTCATTCTTTATATCCTGTATATAGTGGTGTGACTGGAGGGTTGGCACCTCTTTAGTGCCTTGTCAGGACTGACACCACCATATCCTGGATGACACAGAAGCTGAGATGACATGTTGATTCAGTCACGCAAGTGGCCGCGTACAGGTGATTGGATCTGGGATGGAGATGAAGTGAGAGGCAGTGTACCGGAAGTGAATCTCTTGGATACCAGATTAACAACCAATAATGATTTACACAGAAAGGAGTACATGATACACTACAATAGACATATCGGGATAGATATATAGATAGATTTAGCCTATCAATCTAGCAGTTGTGAGAGAGAGAGTTTACATGAGATATGTGCATGGATAAATACCTTGTTGAGAATCTTGACATGATGCAAGCCAACTGGGTTGAATGGGAGAAGGTTCTCAAGGGCAGTTCTTACTCCGGGTGCACAATAGATATTTGGCCATCTGTGGAACGAAATCTGTAAGGATGAATTGATAATGTAAAGGAATGATGAATCCATATAATCCACTGGTATCCGACAATTGAAGCTCAGGGCAATACTGAATAACTCGCTCGAGAAACTGGCAACAACTCTTTAACGACGGTTCAGGACCTACATATCTCAGAAATCAAGTTGATGATGACTGCCTCTCTTGTCCTCTCCTCCTCCTTTTTATTAGGGGGACTTCTCTTGGGTTTTTTTCCATGACTTTGTTAGAATTTTTAGTACATCAGGGCCAATAGTTAAAATTTCACTCGTGGGTTCTAGGTGACACATCGAATATGTCACCTTTAATAAGGAAACAAGTCTGTGGGAAACAGTTTTAATTGTCTTTGACTAAATTTTTTTTCATTTTGTCTCTCTTTAAAATGTTCCTAGAAGAACAAACATCAAACAAAAAGGCCCTTCACCACATTTGGCTCTCACAGAGGTGTTCCTCTTAAATATGATTTTCTTGTTAGCAGCAATCCCAGTTTCTCTGTAGACATTGCAGAGGCATGCCATATATTTCACTTCAGCATATTCATTCTGCTTTTCATGTTGTCTTGTCTCTCTGTCCTATGTCTTCCATTTGTTGATCATTCTCATTATCATTTTTTACTTGACCCCAAATTGACATGCAATCTCTTCAATGTATTCTGGTTTCTTTAATCTGTCCTGTATATTAATGCAAAGAGAATATGCATATTTTATAAGAGCCCTAACGTTGCTAATTTAAAGCTTACTGGGTCATGTGAGACCACAGTATAGATATTGGATTGTAAATTGCTTCTTGTAAATACCTGTGGAGATGTTGCATTCCTTTAATGTGATCAACATGTTGAGGAAGTGTGCAACAACATTGCTTTCCTGTTCCAGTTCTGTTTCCAGGGTTGGAATTAATAACTTCAATGAATTGCCTGATATTAGATTTCTTCCTCCATATTATTAATATTCTGTCTACATAACGTGCATACATAGTGATGTTGTTCTTATATTTTGTATATAGGTTGCTCTCTCCAATGACATCAAGACCACCTTGTAGAGGGTACCAGAAATGGGTTTTGGTTATATACCATCTGGTTAAACATGAAAAATTATGAATATTTAACTAGATTTGCCAACTCTATTTCTGTATGCAAGCTGTTTGAGTTGCTGATTTTGTTCATTAGGAAGTTTCTTAAGTGACAAAAACATGATTCCAACTTGATCAAGGGGTGCTTTGAAATTTATCACCATAATAAACTCTTCCTGCCTTAGGTCTCAATTCTGTAGCTTCTAGTGGTTGCTTTATGCTGTATTTGTGTTCTGTTAATTTAACCCTTTACCCTCAAAAGTAACGATCGGTCGGTACCCCCTATTGTTAAACAAAACTTCAAGCGTACTGATTCATCGTTACCCTAGTAAAAATCAATTTTTGTAGAATTTATTGACAACGGATGTCAGCACTTGAGAGCAGCGTCTTGTCTATCGTCTGTTTCACATATTATTCTCCAGGTGGTGTTTTGTTGACTTAAAAAATTTTAATTAATACTTTTTTTTTCTGAATTTATTTTTTTTCTGTTAATTTTTTATTTCATTTTTAGCATATTCATGCAATAATATTACTATAATAAGTTCATTTATGCTATAATAAGTTTATTTAGCTGTAATAAGTCAATGTGTTATAAATATTTAAGTTGTAACCTTCAGTTCTGACATTTTATATATTTTTTATTTTAATCTAAAATATCAGCAAATTTTACTTGTATTACTACTGGTAAATCATATGTTTATTACAAAAATTTATATTCTTGTTCGATATGAAGTGAATAAAGTACAGTCGACCCCCCTATAAGATCATTGATTTTTCCGTTTTATCTGAATTACATGTTGTACGAGTCACTTAGATTTTACAAATATGTGNCCTTTCAAGGAATTACCATGCTTACAATAACATAATGGTATTTACTGTCATTTAAGTTACATTCTGTAGTTTTAAATTTAGTTGTTATCCTTGAAGTTTTAGTTTTAGTCGTTGTCATCTGAATTTTTATAGATGAATTATTAGAATAAAAATAATAACTACAGCTGTCCCTTGGTAGTCCGACGTTTTATAATCCAACATGCTCAGTAGTCCGACGCACCTCCTGTCAAGGTACCCGTCACTGTTACGTGTCTGCTTGCACAGAAGCATGTTGCAACGTGAATCTCCCTACCCAATTCTTCACGATGACACACATTTTGTGTGTTTTCCGTGAGCAGTTCTGTTCGAACAGTTGGAGTAGGGAATATTGTAGGCTACTGCTAGCAAAACAATGCCAAATATGTAATCACTTTTGGTAATCCGGACACTTTTGGTAATCTGACACCCCTTTGGTCCCATACCTGTCGTCGGATTATCAAGGGACAGCTGTATTCTAATTCATGATAATGGTGTCAAACTTCACCAATGTTTGTAGAATGATGCAATGAACAAATAGTCCATAAACAGATGTGCAAAAATGTATCTTTGAGATTCTAGATAAGCTTTATTTTGGATGACATACATTACATAGTTGTAACCCATGATTTCTTCCCTTTCATCTGCAAAGGCCTTTGCAGATGAAAGAGAAGAAATTCAGCTTTGTTTTTTTTTAATGTTAAAGTAGGGACTTTCAGGCAACATTTTTCAAGTTTTCTGGCCTTAGGTCACAATGGTCAAGGCAAATTCTCATAGTAATTTCATAAATATTAAGTTTTACATTAAAAGATATAATTTCTGTTTGACAGTTATCTTAAAAAGAAAGCTTTTTGAATATGTTACTTAATTTTTATTATAATATTTGTCATGGGATTTGCATCCTAATGGAAAACAGTTTTTCCATTAGGATGTCCAAATCTGAAAACCTGCAACAATGGAAAACAGTTTTTCCATTGTTGCAGGTTTTCAGATGAATATCTGACACATATATAATGAAAGATGTTATTTGAGGCTGGACCATCTACATTTGATGACTTATCTATACCATATCTTACAAAATTATTAATTGGTAGAAATTTCATGTTACATAAGCATTACAAATATCAGAAAAAATTCTCTCTTGCATTTACAGTACTTTGAGAGAGAGAGATAATACCATTTGCTTTTCTTTAATCTTATCTGACAGTTCTTGAAGTTTGTTATTAACACTAGAACCCCAACAGCAGTCATTTTGACTGATTGAACGTTACTTACTTGCCCACTTAATCAATTTGTCACAGAATGCTGCGATTTTTTTATTTTTCTTGAATTGAATGTTTTTAATTGAATTATCACCAAATTTTATCTTGACAAAAATCAGAGAGTCTTGACTTATAAAGGTGTTTACTTATAACTGCAGAAAGCAGTCATTTTTGACCACTGATTTATTCATTTTATTACTTTTTTTATTTTTTAAATTTTTGCTTTATGTATTTACTTAAGACTTATGAACATTAACACTTTGTTTCTGCTATTCTTATTTGTGTTTTCTGTGTCTTTCTTTTGTTAGAACAACTTTTTGCTTCAGTTTTATTGGAATTATTCATGTAATGTATAAGCAAAATAATGATAGATTTAATTATCATCTTCTTACTGGGGATAAAATTGCAAATATATTAGCACATATTTCTGAATATGAATCAAAAGGTGAATGTATGGGTGACATTCATAATCTATAGCAGCAGTCTGCAACCTTTCTGACCTCATGGACCACTAAACTCACAATTTTGAATCCTGCGGACTACTGTTATGAATTTTTTTAAACAATACAAAATCTGTAGAATAATGATCATAAAAGTTTGATTTTACTATATTAATATGAATCTCATTTGTTTAATTATAACAAATTAATGCAAGCGTAAAGTTCATTGCTGCTTGTTTGAAATATGTTTATGGATTCTTAGTGCTTTTCCACAAAGGACGACAATCGCACTCACAATATTGTTTATTGTTCATTATTTATTGATAACAGTTACTTTGTATTTGGTTTTAGATTCGAATGAAAACCTCCAATGAGTGAAAGAAAGCAACTAAGCATTTTGCATTTCTTTCGTAATACTTTGTATAACCTTCAGTTGATCAATATCCAAATTTCTCCACTGACCACCCAAATTTTCTTGACCACTGGTTGCCGACTGCTGATCTATAGGATAGTGATAACAAATATGTCTCATCCAACAAAATCGGTGCTAAACAGGATAGTGATGTGACTTATCATCAGATCATCATATTATATGACTAATCAGTCTCTCATCAATGAACCATCATCAACTTCTCTACAAAGATGTATAGTATATAATTTACTATACTTTTTGATATGCTGATTCTTACTGGTGTAATATATATGTATGTATGTATGTATGTATGTATGTAAAATATTTTGTTATAAAATAATTTTACATAGTAATATACAGAATAATCATATAGCTATCGTTGCTTGTTTTCTCATGCTAAAAACTTGCTTTTATAGGTGCATGTGTACTATTCATGACAGGCAGCAATGAGGAAATTCCTGTGGATTAGTTTTCAGTACTTAATTTTTTTATATGAAGGAGTTTCCCCAATTTAAGGTGACAACCCTCCTGACCTAATGTCCCTTGAAATTATATAATGTTTTAGAACAGTGGTTCCCAAAGTGGGCACTACCCTTTATGGGCAGTGAGTCTAGGAGGGGCAAAAAGAAGTAAATGGGTGACAGGGGTACTAGAGACAGGGTACTGAATGGAGACCATAGTCAAAGGTTGGGGCCACTGACAACCTTTCACTTTCCTTTTTTAAAACGGGTAAGAAGAAACATTGCATTTAATGGTTTCCAGATGTGAAGAACAATTTACAGTAAGAATACAAATCGTGAGTTTCATTGAAAAGTTTTCTAAAAATATTTCCAAGCCTTTCTCATGCAAAAGAAAATGGGTTAGTGGTGTTGGGTATAAGTTCATGGAACCAAGGGGCAGTGGCTTGAAAAAGTTTGCGATTTACTATTCTAGAATGTTATCAGTAAAATCAGTTTCAAGTTGTAAAAGGCATACTTTGGAATAGCAATCATTTTGACTGCTGTCAGCAGTTTTAAGTGTGAAAAAAGTCTCACAGTTCTAGTGTTAAAGTTCATACATGCTCACTGATGAAAAAGGGTAGACCAGTGTGACTTTGCTTTTCAGTGCTCATTGTGAAGTGTCCCAACATTGGTTTGTCTTAAATCTTTGTCAGATCTTATTTAGATTTGTTAATTTAATTCTATTGGCATATCATACAAAGTTGGGTGGCATATCAATATTTTGGGCCATCCGGGACCTGCTGATAATCAACTTGATCATTTTTACAAATCATGTCTCAAGAATTCAATGATATCTCATCTTTCTTCCTTTCTTGTGCCAGTGTGTCAAGATTTTATTATTTCAAATCCTTAGAATTTTATAACCAATGAATATTGAATGAAATGAAATAAAGAAATTTTTAATAACTTTTTTAAATTATTGTGATTTAGATTCTCTCAATAACAACATATTTTAATAATTGTTTTTTTTTTTATTTTTAGTGTTCAAGAAAGTATTGAGAAAGAAAAAGAAAATAATATAGCAAAAAAGAAACAATCTGTAAAAAATTTTGTATCTACAAATAGAAAAGTCAAGCATAAATTAAATAACGAAAATACTACAAATAATTCTGAAATTAAAACTCCATGTAAAAAATCTGAGCAAATGGAAAAATATACATTATATCCTGAATCCTGTAATCAGCAGAAATACGATGAAATGCAAAATCATAATTATTACGGTAAAGATAATTTTTCCAGTGGTGATTTTGATTTTATGTCAAAGGGAAATTTTCACTCTCCTGATAAACAAAATGTTGGTTATCAGAACTCATTTACTGAAGCAGATCACTGGAATTATCAGTCTTGGAATACTCGATATTTTTATCAACAGTGGAATGGCCAATTTTCAAATAGATCAAGTAGTCATCAATCTGATGAATATTACAATAACTCTTCTGGAAGAAACTTTAATTCATATAGTGATAATTCAAATACAGACAAGTTTAATAATAGTTCTGTAGAGAACAATAACAATAATTATTGCAGACAACAGAATGTCAGATATGGAAAATTGAGATCACAATCTAAACATAATTTAACATTTAACAAATATAAATATGTTAAATCTAATATTAAATCATATAAAAATACCTGTTTTGAGAAAAAAATAAAACAGAAATATGGAATAAATAATCAAGAAAGAGGATATGTAGATAATACACGTGCTAAAGGCACCTTTCCTAAACAAAAGTTATTAAATATAAATTCAGGGGCCAAATTAAACACACAGTTTCCCAATCAGTTTATTTCTTCTTCCAATAAAAATTCTCAGAATTCTAACGTAAAAGTTAGAAATATTGAGATAGAACCTTCAAAATCAACATCTCACATTAGATTTAATGATTTAGATGATACGGTAGTGAATGTTTTTGAAGATAAGGAGGTAAATGAAAATTTTGAAATTCAAAATTCAGATGAAAAGAATGGGAAAAAAACTGAATCAGATGAACTTTTAATTAAAAGAAATCAAAACAATTCTGTACAGCAAACAGATAAAGTTGAAATATTATCATCACATATTAAAAATGAAAATGGTGGACTTGAAAAATCAAATCTATCTGAAGAGGAAAATAAAAATTCAACAGACAAAAATTCTCCAAACATTGAACAAGATACTACTAATTGTACTGGAAAACTTTATAAATTATCTCAATTAATAGAGAAATCAGAAATGGAAATTGGTGCATATAATAAAGAACTAATTAATAGACTTGTAAATTTTCCTCGGAGTAGGAAGGAACAAATTCGTTTAGAACAGTGGATTAAACAACATATTAAAACAAAGAAACGATTAACTTTACCACGATTTAATTTGCAACTTGGCCCATCAGAAAATTCCAAAGAAAAAAATAAGAATTCACCATCTATTTTGCATAGTATGGTATCGGAAGTTGTGAATAGTCTTCCAGAAAATGTTTTAAATTCTGTTGTTTCCGCATTAAAAAATGGTGAAATAGAAAACATTGAACAAAATGTACAGAATGATGGAAAAAAATTTAAAAATAATAGTAATCAGACATCTGTTTTGCAAAAAAAAATTTCTTGTGATTCTATAAATATTACTGAACTGACTTATAATGATAAATTAAAATGGTTAGAAAATTGGATTACTTATAATTTACCTAGAACTGAAGAGAATGTTATCATAAAAACTGAGGCATCACAGTCAACTGAAAATGATTCCGATCAAGATAATGAGTTTTCCAAAGAATGCACCCAACCAGAAAAGGTAAGAAAGTTTTAAGTACTTCTCAATATCTGGTGTGGTAGCTGATGAATATGTAGATTTAGTATGTGTCTCTTTAATCCAAATTAGTAAAAACGGTAGACTTTCTCTCAGCTATTAGGTTAGGTACTCCTTTATTGCAAATCACAAATGTATTTCGGGCCTATATGAGCCCCTCTTCAGTGTAAATGCTCAGAAGACAGAGTAACGCTTTTCTAATTGTATGACACTCACAATGATATTTTATATAATCAAAAAAAACGTGTCCATAGTGTCGTGTATTGAATGACTCTATTACACAGGTACAATTAAAAACCTTAAAACAGTAAATATACATTATTACCTTATATATTATTACAATAACAATAACATGGTATCTTCTTACTTATAACTATACCTGTAAGGTATTTAAAACTGTATCGTGTACTTTAAGACATTATCAGAATACATCATGTTTCCATTACAGTTTATCATATCTGTTAACGTTATTATTAATTAGTTCTTTATTATATGCACCAATTTCCATTTCTATTATGAATACATCATGTTTCCATTACAGTTTATCATATCTGTTAACGTTATTGTTGTAACACATGATTTTTCTGACTTATGATGTTAGGTATCTCTCTTTTAAAAAACCTCTGTCATATTTTTTTACACTGTTCTTTTACTCTGTCATATATTTTTACTACTGTTCTTTTTATCCATTTTATTTTCAAATAGTTCTTCTCAATATCTGGTATGGTAGCTGATGAATACATAGATTTAGTATGTGTCTGTTTGATCTGAATTAGTAAAAACGGTAGACTTTCTCTCAGCTATTAGGTTAGGTACTCCTTTATTGCAAATCACAAATGCATTTCAGGCCTATATGAGCCCCTCTTCATTTACACTGAAGAGGTAACATTTTATATAAGGATGTCTCCAATTCTCAAACTGTGTTGTAGGAATGCAATGTTGTATGATGGATACCTGTAATTTGTTATAATTAAATCAAAAACAGGATATGATACAGCATTGCACGCTTTAATTTGGGAACTTGAATTAAAAGTTTCCTTAATTATAATTTGCGTTATCGTATTTTCCACTTTCTTGTGTATTATATCATATATTGTATATATCTTGAAGTGTTGTTTGTTATAAAAAATTAATCTAATTAAAATTGATGTATATAGAAAAAGTTACACAGTACAGTTTTACTTTCTACGCTGGAAGTGTAAGTGTATTTTTAGTAAATTTACTTTTAAAATCTATGTTTATTTTATACATTTGATAATTCCAAAGTACATTTCTAAAATATTAAAAAAAAAAATTGATATAATTTTACAGTAAGACCCTGCTTAACGCTGATTCAATATAACGCGGTCTGCTCGAAACCAGAAACAAAAAAAACAGCTCAAAATTTATGCTGATTTAAATTATTGTGCGTTTCATTGATTCATATATAATACGATAATTTACAAACACGAACCAATCAGCAAAAGACGGAAATTCATCATAGCACTGTACTTCCCTTAAATCTATGCTTGTTTTGTGCAATTTTGGTAAAAATATAACATCATGGATGCCATAGGAAATATCGACTTTGTTTGGCAAGAATTAACCGATGAATGCATGAACGAAGTGTGGAAGAAGTTAAGAAGTCATGACTGAAGGTATCCAAGAATTCTCAACAAAAAGAGTCTATTGCTGTATTGTTAGGTTGATTAAATTGTCAACCTAATTGATACAGAAGGATTAGGAGATGTAGACGAGCAGGATATTGAGGAGTTACTGCACATTTCTAGTGAGAGCCTTACTAATGACAACCTTCAAGAACTGGCAGAACAAGGACTTCATGTAGAACTGGAAAATAGTGATTCTGAAAACGAAGAACCCAAAGAATTTCTCTACAGATTTCCTTAGTAAAAGTTTGGTAACAATAACTGAAATCGTTAACCAAACTGTAGTGAATGATCCAGATTTTGAAAGTAGTGCAAAAGCAAAACAAGGCATCTCCCGCTATGGACATTTGCTTAATGAAAGAAAAAAACAAGTGAAAAATGAAACTAGATGATTTCATTGGAAAAAAATCAAGAATTTCAGAAGATCCAGGACCTTCATCACAAAAAATGAATTGTAAATTTCTGTGTGCATATGTTTGTGTTATTTAACATATTATTATGCAAATTAATATAAAAATAACTTAAAATTAAAGTAAAAACTGTTTATTTTTGGTCACATGTTTCCCTTTCCTTATTTACTCTATGTTAAAATGCTGTTAAAATACTCTCGTTTAATGCTGTTTCATTTAGTGCTTTGTCCTCTAGGAACGCATCCCCGTGTTATACACGATCTTACTGTATTTTGTAATATTTATTTAAAACCATTTCAAAACTTTATTTATTGTTGTATTACCATAATATTATTATTACTTATTATTATTATTACTGATTATTACTAAAATGGAGAAAAGTATAGAAATTAGTAAGACAGTTAAAAACAGATTTATAAAGAAAGGAAGAGAAGAAAAAGACATGGATATTGCAATTATATCCAGAAATGTGTCATCTACTGATGAACTGATCATTTTAGTAGTGAACTATACTCTCACAAACCCATAATCCTGTAAAGAATATTTATTGATGTAACAAAAAAGACAGTGTGGTTTATTTATAACAGACTTTTTAAAAATTAATTTATTCTTCAGAAAATTTTGAAGGCTGCTTGTGGTGTGAAGTTGTGTGTCATATATACTATTGAAGAAATTCATTGTCAGATAACTATGGATTTATTTTTTTTATTTGACTGTGTAAAAATTACCTAGAAAAAAAATTAGGGTAGAATTCTTTGTGTATAAGAACGCAAATTATGTTGCTTCAGATAGGAAATGGTAGAAACAAGATAGTTTGTCTAGATCATGTTAGTAATTATTATTTGAAATCAGTAATTGTATGCTGATAGGTCATAGAATAATAAAATAAAGTCTGTGAGAGAGAGAGATGAGAATAAATTAAATGTATTCTTGGGAAAAGGATCGATTCCTAGTTAGTTCTCTTATAAACTTTCAATGACAATTTGAAGGTTCCAATCAAAAGGAGTGTAGATTGATTGTATATCAAAGTGGAGGTTTTGAAGCAGTTCTAATGGAAATTGAGAAAAACTGACAAAGAATGAGAGAGTCCAAGCACTGCCCTTAGCAGAGAATGAGAGAAGTGAACATTATTATTTTTTGTAAAATTATTTATTTTGAGAAAAATTAATAAAATGTAAGGATTAAGATCAGGATTCTAAATAATAATCTTCATACAAATGTGTAAATTGTAAAGATCTGTGCAGTAATTTATTAGATTCAAGGAGTGTTAAAGACATTTCTTTGTTTATTTTTTTATTTTACAGTGTTTTTTAAATTACATTAGCATCTTCTAATATTTAATGATCCAATAATATCTTCATTAAATATTAATTTTATAAATTTTGATAAATAAATTATTAATTTTATTATTTCAATTTTATAGGTTAGCCAAGTTAAAGATTCTTGCATAATAAAAGTGAAAGAAGAGAGAAAAAGTGATGGTAAGATAAATTGAATTTCAAATGAATTTTCTTTTTAAAATAATAATCAAATTGTTGGATCTCAATGAATGAAAAGATTTGGGATTATTTGATTAAACCATATTCAATTAATTTAATTTTAATAAATTTAATACATACAAAACAAGGTGCAAATATTTTCAAAATACTTAATTAAAATTTATAAAATTGGAAGACATTTCTGAAGGATTAAACAAAATAGAAAATTAGTTCAGGATAATTAAATACATTAAATATTTATTTCAAACTAAATTTAGTCTTTTCTGTAAAGGTTAATATAGTATACTAGAAATTCCCCTATCAAGTGTGACAGAATACTTTTTATGAGAAAGTAGAAATTGAAGAAATGAGAAGAGTAGCATTTTCAAAAAATTCAAGAAGAGTTGTTAATATTTCTACAAATTAAGCAGTTTATACATCTGTTGTAACATAAACAGCAACAAAACAAAATTTTACTTGGAGTGGACAAAAATAGTAGAAGTTACAGAGAATTCACTTATACACATAAACAGATTTAGGCTTTTATATTAAAATCCAAACAAAAACATCTGAGATATAAAAAAATTATGCCAAGTAAAAATTTTTGACAATTTAGATGACAGTGAAAATTTTTCTTAGTTTTTCTTTGGTAAAGATAAGATTGGCACTTGGAGGTGAAATGTAGAAAACAATAATATGGTAAAAATCTAGTGGTTACCACTTCAAGCACCAAGCTTATCTTTATCAAAGAAAAACTCTTAACTTTTTTGGATTTCACAAGATACAATAGAATCTCATTTTAACGGATTGCAGAACAACAGATTTCTTGCAATAACAGATTTTTCTCCAGGTATCATCAAATGAATGTAACTTTACCTTCTTTTAGTGGATCTGTAGCTTGGAATAACAGATTTTTCTAGCCCCATCTACAGTAAATATCATGTTTTTTTCAATATTTAATTAATATTTGGATATTTCTGGAATTTTAAAAAGTACATTGTAACTAGAGCAAAAAATACACATATTTGTCACAGTTCACATTGCTAATGTTGCAGTCATGCATCAGTATAGTGTAGTGCCTGGATTAATGGCAGGAAGGTACTTCCAGCTTGATACTTCTAGACATGCATATGTCTGCAGCAAAGGCTTGTGGCAGCTTGGGGCTATTGCACCTTGAAATCACACCATCGTGTTCACTTAACAGTACCATTTCATACTGACAATGCCACCAAAAGAAGCCCAGAAACATGCACCATAATATACTGTATGATCATTTACCATGTGTTTTCTATAGAATAAAGGATAGAGATATCAAGAGACTGAATTATTTCAAGTACAGGTATTTTTTTATATGCAGGAGGTTAAAAAATGGAAATTTTTTCAAATAATATATTTTCTTGGGTGTGCAGGAAATCCATTGTTCATGATATAATAGATTATTGAAACAACAGATGATTTTCAGTGGCCCAAGGAATTCATTAAAACAAGATTCTACTGTATTAAATTTTAATTTTTTATACTTTATTTAAAAAGTTTTGATTTGTTATTTCATTCATGAAATTTCATTTATATGAAATAATAGATTATGTTTGCCATTAAGTTATCGATAGTTATAAGTTGGTTCAAACAGTTTCTATTTGCCATTAAAATATTTACACAGTTAATGGTAGAGTAGTGTTAAATTTATGTTCCTGGTAGTACTCATAGGAGTGGCCATTACTAGCAAAAATTTTAAATGAGATATTTAGGACTGTGATGTGATATCAGTCACATGGAAGGCATTATTAGATTTGGGCTGAAGATGATGAACTATGATGATAAAGAACCTATAGAGAGAATACTGGACATTATTTTATACAGTATATTATCAATTATATTCAGTTGTGCATAGTATGTGTAATATATGAGTTAGTTTAGTTTTTATATACATTTTTGTTAATGATACAATTAAGTTTACAAGGTATGTATTTTATTTTTATACCTTTTAGTGTTTTGGTTTCATGTTTTTTAGGTTTTATTTATATATTTATATTTTAATACAGATATCTCACGTGCATGTAAATTTTTGCTGTTCTAAAACATTAATATTTAAAGTCAACTTGTTACAGAGGATCTTCCAGCTTTTGATCTTTTTATATTGAAATTTATTTCTTTCTGTCCTGAAGAAGGTCATTTAACATGACCAAAAATGTTTGAAAATTAAAATTGTACTGCATTTTAAAGGTTTGAGTAGTAGTATTGTGGCATAAATTACGTAGTTCCTTCTGTGAATCTTCTAATACAATTTTTAAATAGTATGTAAATGCAATTAAAATAGAATACCAATGGACAATGTTAATGGCATTTTCCCTCATCTTTTGTTTTTTTTACAATATTTTTTCCCATTAATTATTAAAAGTAGATTAATAGGAGTGGCCATATTGACCACAGGCCTTGTTTCTTTTCTGATATTTTGGAAAATTTTTAGTTTTAGATGCTAATTTCTTATGAATTATTTATAATTTTTGATTTTAAATATTATGGAAAAATTGATTTTTCTGATATGGAATTGATAATAGTTTTATTTATAATATACCTATAACAGCAGTTATAGTCAAATTGACTGCTAGGGAGCTTTTTATAAAAACTGTTTTTTTGTTTTGTGTTGTTGTCAAATATTAGGAGATATTACATTATTAATATTGTGTATTGTTTCAAGATATATTTTAATGTAATAAAAGAGGAATTTATTTGTAATTTGAGGAAAGAAAAATTATGCATTCCATTGAGATGTATTAACTCTTCCTCTGGTGTTGCATTTGTAAATTTATATTCTTTAGTTGCAAAACACATGAATTTATTCTTGACTTTTTTATGGGACAAATCTTACATGTATTGAAAAAGTAGAAAATGTTGCCATGTGTAAATATCAAAAAATAACCTTTTCTTCTTTCTAGAAAAAGTTTATTAATGGAACAATTCATTAATAAATATTTTACTGGAAAGAAGCAAAGTTTATTTTTTGATATTTGCAATTGGTTCCAGTTTTGTTTTACATTTTTTTTTGTGTCATTATGTATACATTCTCCTTAATATATCCTTAGATATTTACAAAATGTGTCAGAAGATGAGTCATACTGTGATTAAGAAAATGTTTCAGAAGTTGTTAATGACAATAGTAAAGAAATAATTCATTGTAACAGGGGAGCATCTGAGAGTTCTGATACCAATGATGCAATTGGCAATCCTAATTATAGGAATGGACAATCCCCATCCATTGTGTAGAAATTGCCAATTTCTTAATGGTATGCCTAACTGTGGAAATGGGAGAACATCAGTGGAAGTATCATCTAATGACAATTTTGCAGCTGATGGAACAGTATAGGAGATTTTTGAGGTGTCACATGCATTATGCAATATTTTGAATGAGGAGGAGGACCAACCCCCAAATGTACAATGTTGCATAAATAAAGAAAGTTTTCTGAGTTTATGGTGGTTATTCGTTGATATGCCAATTCTTTAACATTGATAGTATATCAGGCAAAAAGTAAAAATTAAAATATCTTGATATTGGGTACATTCCATGATTAGAAATTGGAAATGATAAGAAGGAACATTCATTCATTCGTGTTTTATTAATTCAAATAACTTACATTGCCTGATATTGCAATGAATGATCAAGCATTGGATACACATAAAGTACAGTACATACAGTAGTAGGTAGATATGAATCTAACACATCAAACAGAAGTATAATGATAGTGTTAATTAAGCACATTACATGATATAAAAGACAACATGTACAGTTAGGCTAGAACTTGAGCCTTTACAGTAGGGGTTAAATGAGATAATTATAAGCTATTTACATAAGTTACAAGAGGTTTACATGCCAAGACAGGTTTCAATGGCTAATTAATAATTGTAGTCCTAAAATATTTTTCAACAAGCTGGAGAAACAGATCAGCAGTCTTTGTCATGCAGTAAGTCTTGTGCCTCACAAGACCAGTGGCAATTTTTGCTGAGAAGCAGTGTCCTTAGCTGGTTTCTTCTGTTGCTATACACTCAAATTTAGTGGAAGCACCATCCCATTTATTGCAGATGGGACATAAGTCGTTGAGGTGCAGGGAAAATCTGTTTAGGTAGGAGTTAAAATGACCGTGGTTTGTATAGAATTGCACAGTATGATGAGTTATTTTTATCCAGTTGTTATGGAGTAGTATTTTTAAATCAAGAAAGAACTGTCTTGTGATTGAAGGAGTATTATTATTCCAGTGCTGTTGCCAGTTTTGTAATAGCTTGTTCCAGAGTATAGTTTTAATTCCCTTGAGGGACAGTTTGTTATAATTGATTGGAATATTCTGATTGTTGGCTGTCTCCTTCGCTAGAGTGGAGTGTCCATTCTGTTGTTGCTGGTGTTTTCACTGTGGGATTGAGTCCATTTGAAATAGTAATCATTGTCATAGTTGACTATTATTCGTTGTATGGTTGAGGTGATGGGGTGCAGAGACTTTTCTTTTTCTTGATTGCTGATAATGCAGCACTGCAGTCAGTGATGATTACTATTCTGCCATTGTTAACCCCTTCATTCCCGATCATTAATTAAATTGATATAAGATTAATATTAAAATACATTAAAAATACTTAAAACTGAAAAAAAACGAAAGAAATGCGTTAATTTTGAAGAAAAAGATTCAAATTTTATTTTCCTTTGTTTCGCCTCTCTGTGAAATTTAACACGGATGAGTCATTGTTTACACAGCTGGGTGACCTTGAACACAGCTGGAGTTTGATTTCCCGGGACATTCCCATGTACGCCGCGGGAGGTCAAGGGTTTAAAGTAGGGTGAATATAAGTGACACGGAAATTTTTAAATATTTGCGTTAATTTTGAAGAAAAAGCTTCAAATTTTATTTTCCTTTGTTTCCCCTTTCTGTGAAATTTAACACTGATGAGTCATTGTTTACACAGCTGGGTGACCTTGAACACAGCTGGAGTCCGATTTCCCGGGACATTCTCATAGACGTCTCGGGAGGACAAGGGTTTAAAGTAGGGTGACTATAAGCGACACAGAAATTTTTAAATATTTTTAAAAAATTCAAAATTTTATTGCGATTTTCGACCCCCCCTAATTAATTAATTTTATATTTAAAAAAATATATTAATTAAAAAAATTAAAAAACCATTGGAGGTCGTTTTTGACATCAGAAACTAACTTTAAATAACTTTACCAAATGAATATCTGTGCACTACAACTTAGGAACCATGAAATAAATTTGATAAAAAACTCCCATTAAAAAACAACTGAGCCTTAATCGAGCCTTATTAAAGGCTAATTAAAATCGCGATAAAATTTTTTCGCGTGGGCAAAAAATTTTGAAAAAATTTGGGGACCTAAAAAACATTCCAAAAATTCAAAAAAAAATTTTTTTTTCAAAAATGGCCTTAAGGACCACGTTTTTCGTAAGGTTATGTAGGCTTGACGTATATATACGTCAATGGAGACTAAGGAGTTAACGGCTCATTCACACCAGTTAATAGCCTGCAATATCGCGTGAAGCTCGGCCTGAAAGATCGTGCATAAGGGCCCTAAACAAAATGATTTGGTAAAGATTTCTACATTCAGTAGACTACAAAACTGGCTCCCACTTCATTTTCCTGTCTGGAACCATCTGTGAAAATTGTGATTGGACATTCTGTGAGGCAGTCCTCTAGAATTCTTAAGTCAGTGTGTGGGCTTAAAGTCAGCTCAAATGGGATTGGTTGTTCCCATAAGTCTGGGGATATCGTTAACGTTTGTGTAGTCACATTTTCACCCCATTTTATTTTCCAGATGGTGTGCTGATAATTAATCATTAGATCTATAGGTGGTTTGTGGGCTAGGACCTATAGCTGGCATTAGCTGTGGTCTTGTATGCTGTCGTTATAAGCAGAAGTTTTCTTTTGGGGTGTACCTTGCTAATAACATAGCCCCAGGTACTGCACCTGTACAAAAACATGGAAAGAAATATGCTATTATAAATGGTCCCCATAGCCTTGTTGTTTAGGCCCCACGAGGTTTTGGCCACTTTTGCAAAAGCTTGCATGATGTGCCCAGTTCATTGGGTGATGTAGTGGACATGTTGGTTCCATGAGAGGCGGTGGTCTAGAATAATGTCCAAGTACTTCAATTCCTTCATGACTCCTATGTGACTTTCATTCATGCAGAGTGTGGGGACATGGGCATACAAATTTCTCTGCCCTGACAGATTCAAAATGATTGCTTTCTTCTTTCTTGCATTGAACTTCAATTTAATTTGTTTGCCCAATTATGGATTTTTTGTAAGACCAGATTTCCTTTGATCTCAAGGACTGCACGCGATTGGCCTCCTATTAGTACTAATGCATCTTTGATGTAAGCTACTGCAGTGTCATGCCCTAGGTTTTGATTCAGGAATAGAGATCATTAGTTGAATTGTTAATGTCGTTTTATGGTGTTCATGATCCAGTTGTATCTCTACTTTTCAGTGCACATTTTAATCACATATCTCCCTAGATTTGCAGATGCATGAGTGCAAAAGTCTCTCTATGATTGCAATTTTATATCCAGTATCTTGTCTTGGTATGTTCTTTGGTGTGGTAAATACTGCTGCCTATGCTGCTTCCTTAGTGCTGGGTTATGGCACCATTGAAATCTCTGTCGGAATTTATTGTTCATCTTACACAGTGCTGAGAGTTTGTCGTTCCACCAGGGAACCATTTTCCTTCTGGAGATTGTTTTAGAGATGAATAGCTTGCGTGCTGAGGTAATACCCTGGATGCATGTGCTAATTTGGTGTTTAGCTTCCTCAAGTCTATGAGTGTCATGGAGACTCTCTCAGTAGTCCAGAGCCTCCATGACACTCATACTTATATTATGATCTAAGTATTCTGCAATTGCAGTTCAATTTGCTCTTGAGGGATTGTAGTGATAACTGCTGGCCAGAGGCTGGTTTGCACTCCCATGGCATTGAAAGTGATGTAGGTATGTTCACTAAAGTTATGTGCATCCAAAACCTTCCAATCAGCGATAGATGCAAAACAGCCACTGGAACAAGTGGTTACGTCCATACAAGAGAAGTAGCAACTGTTGTTGAAGGTAGGAGAAGGTTGTTGGTCATTGATTATAAAGAAATTATGTTGGTCCAGGAACTCTGATAAGAAGAAACTGCCAGAAACTGTAGTATTTTATAATAAAACAAAATTCAATTTAGATGATGATGACCAGATAGCAAGGAAATATACAGTAAAAGCTACCGCACATCATTTGCCAGTTCATGTATTCTATAATATATTGGTTCTAGCTGCAATAAATTCTTGGACAATAGTTTAAAAGGTTATAGATAAGGACATAACTAGGAAAAATTTCATCCTAAATTTGGTTGAAAAATTTCATCCTAAATTTGGTTGAAAAATTTACTCAAGACTAAAAAACTACACAAGCTAAATAAACAACAGAGGGAAAAATTGAAAAACTATCCTACAAATATATGTGATATTAATGCCAAATTGCAAAATGTAAAAAATATGTGTGTAAAAAGTGCACAGTTTATGTTACTAGAATTTGTATGGAATGTTCTAAGTAGTTTTGGATCAGGGAGTTCAATTTTCAAATTGCCGTATGGTAACATATAGCAAGAGATTTGTCATTAATGTCTGCATAAAGTTACCCTCCATTTGTCATATATTCATCATCATAAGTCTAAATATCTAAATATGGAATATTTCAGTATTACAGTAGAGCGCCATTTATCCGAAACGTCGGTTATCCGAAATAATTCCAGTCGGCAAATTTAAATTTTCACTAGTGCTGTGGTGCTGCAATCTTTGGCTATATCCAATGGCTACTCCAATACTTTTTAGGTTTGTGTATGTATTTTAGCTGGCAGCACTGTCACTTTTGTGTAGTGTTTTTCTGATGACTGTGTCATGCTGAGTCGAACGTTTTTGATACTAGATAACTTCTAAAGTATAAATTTTTTTTGTTTTTATATTTATTTTGTTTGTACAAAATAAAGAAATAATTTTTAACGATACAATAACCACGATTATTATTTTAAAAAGTTTACATTAGGCTTAATATTGACGAAAATTCAACGTGAAGTGACACGCAACGGAGAAAAATTTCAACATGGGACAGGTTAATATATTTTTTTCATACATAATCGGTTATCTGAAAAATAAGTTATCTGAACAACCCCAGTCCCCAATTGATTCGGATAAACGACGCTCTACTGTATATCTTGTAACCTTATTTCTCAAACAAATCACATACATTCTTTGATGTATTAAAGATAATTTAAAGCTTAATTAAAAACATTTGAAAATAATTAAATTAATTGCTGTTGGAACAGCATAAAGTAGAGTTTTCAGATTTATATAAAAGAGAAAGGTCAATAATTTAACCTTTAACCACAATAAAGTTGAACTATGCATCAAAGTTGAAGTTAAATTATGGAATTTTTTTTTAAATATTTATCTGAAAACAGGTTGAATTGTTGAAAAAGTTTCCTTTGAAATTATTTCATATTTGTCTATTGGATTATGTGATATAATCAATTAATTTTATTATTGATAATATTTGATTATTACTATTATTTTTTAAATTTAATATAATTAATAATTTCAGTAATTATTACAAAAAATTTTCAATTTTTCTAAATTCTTGTTTAATCATTTTAATGATATGAAAAATTTGTTTTTACAGATGAATCTACCAGCACTGTTAATTTTGAAGATTCAGTTAACATGAGTGGTGTAACAGAAAATATTGAAAATGATACAAATTTTTCAGACGTGTCACCTGTTACTAAAGATTCTGGCACGATACCAAGTGAAAATGACAATTTATCATCAAGTTTAAGCAGTGATCAAAATAATAATTTAAACTTAAGTGATATTAGAATAAAAACGGAGCCCGTTGATTTAGAAGAAGAAATTAATGAAAATATTAAAAGTGATGTAGGTAATATCCCAAATAGTTTTGATGCACTAAATAGAAATTTTACTTCATTGCCCCAATCAGTTGAAATGAATGCATTTAATGAGCCTTCTAATATTAGTCATTCACCAAGTTTAAGTAATATGGTTAATGTTGAAGATATACTTCGTAAAAGAGGCTTATTACAGCCACAAACACCAGAAAGAACAAATGTTTCAAATGGAAATCAGTCAAAGGTAACTTCTGGATCATCATCACAGACTTTAATTCAAGAAATACTAGCAATAAGTCAAAAAGAAGAAGAGATAAGAATACAAGCACAAAAAATTGATCAAAGTATAATTTATTTAATGAAATTGATAGAAGAAGAAAAGAAAAAAAGAACTCAGGTATGCATTGTTACATTGAACTTCATTATTATTACGTTTCTACCAGAAATTTGTTGTTATACATATTGCTAAATAGTTGAGAAATTTTTGTGTCTGACAAGTGAAACATTTGATTATTGTACAGTTTTTTTCAACTAATATTTCAAAATTCTTATACATAAATCATATTTAAATTTAAACAGAGGCTGTTGATGTTACATAAAATATTTATCTTAACATTGAATCTTTTTAATTAAATTGCCTCAATGTCCTTTTTTCTTATTAATATATAAATTTTCGACTATAAATTCGTATCTTCTATTATCAGGACTTATTATACTGGTTTTACAGATAATATTACAAAGATTAACAGAAAACAATTTTTATTTTATTTCGTATACCTGGACACATACACAGTTTTGCGTTTCGGACATATTCGTCCCTCTTCGGACATATTAATTGAATCTTTTTGTTTTCAATTTTTTGTCATTTGCTATGTTGTTTCTTTATTTCATAAACCAGTACATTATTATTTTTATTATCTCATTGAGATGGCAAACCTTTTTTTGGGATGACAAAAGAGACATAATTATGCATAATGAAGAGAATTCAAAAACTATTAATAAAGAAATGAAATGAATATATTTTAATTTGAATAAATCAAAAAAGTAGAAAAAATGATGATAAACCAAACTGAATGTAAAAACAATAAAAAACTGAAATTAAATCATGTAACTTTAATGACATTTTATGAGTGTTACCATAATTTTTTTGCGAATGATCCACATTTTATCTATATTTAAAAATTAATTTGAAAGCAAATGCAGTGTATATAATGATTTATGTTATCTGCCTATTTTAAATTTCAATTATAGATTCATCCAACAACTTCTTCTTTGTTTAAACTTGTTAAACTTGTCTTTAAAATATATGAAAAATTCCTTTATGTGCTACAGATACATTCATCTGCCATCATAATTTTTCTTGAAACCATTAAAGACATGAGGAGAACTCAACTTCATTTTGTTCATCATTTGTTTTGTTTTAGTTACATTTACTTGAGGACAAAAAGCCATTCTGGTAGAAACTGGAAGCCAGAAGGTGGCAAAAATAAAGTTAAAAATAACAATTACTTGGCTCAATAATGAATATAATGGAATAGTCAACCTTTAGAGCTTACTTCCAGCAAGGAAAATGAATGTATGCAAATCAAGTAATGTGAGAACATATAAATGAAGTAGATGATGACTGTGATGTCACTATGAGTATATCTGTAGGTATAAATAGACAAATGCAAAGTGATAAGTTTGAGAGGAGGTTTAGTATGACTAGGTGAAAGAATATGTAGGATTGGTTATTTTGGAATTGCTCTCATGTATATTTAATTTTTTTTGCTGTTATTGTATTGTTTCATTGATTATAGAATTACTGGAAACTACTACATTGTTAAATTATTATGTTGCATTTATTTAATAATAACCATTTTTGTATTTATTAAATAATACATTTGACTTTGCAGTGTTGTTTATTAATTCCGATATACTGTACATAGTATTTTTCTTATAGTTTTCATTACCTCCAAGAGATCAGATCTGTTCCTCTCACAGTAGAGTTGGTCTTAGGTTTGTTTCATGAGAGTCAAACTTTATACAGATGCATGTTTTATCTTCAGTTCTCTGTCATCTTTTATATATGTTATTAGGAACTCTTACTTAAACTTGTATTTTTAAAACTTATAAATTTCTAGTAATTCTCTCCTTTTTATATAATTATTCTCATAGAACTACTTAGAAGTCAATTCTCAATATTAGTGTATTTTAGTTTTCTACAGTGAATGAGAACTAAGTAATTGAGTCTTGAACCTGTATTGTTAGATATTGTAGAGTCTATATGCAATTTTTTTAGTGAAATAATTGATGATGTCATTAATTAATTTTACTTTATTTATCTTGTATTTATTGTATATCTGATAAGGCAATCATTCTCACCAAGAGCCATATTTGTTGCATTGCCACTCTGGCTTGGTCTTGACCCATGCAACTCTTCAAACATTAAATACACTAAGACCTAGTTTAGCACTTAGAATGAGTTCCTAGACAACAAAGTGCCAAATGAAACAGCATTAAACAAATGAACAGCATTAACATGTTTTGCAAGTTCTTGAATATCTTCATCAAAAACCTGCAGTAACTGCACAAGATCCTGCTCATCTACATCTCCTAGTTGTTCTGTATTGATTAGGTTGACAATTTGGTCAATGATAGGCTCTTCTCATTGAGAATTCTTGGATACCTCCAGCCATACCTTTTTCCCCACTCTAATCATGCATTTATCAGTTAATTCTTGCCAAGAGAAGTTGATATTCTCTATGGCATCCATGATATATTTTTTTCCAAAAAAATTCCACCAAACAAACATAGATTTAGGGGAAGTACAGTGCTACTATGAATTGCCTTTTGCTGATTGGTTTATGTCCAGTATATACAGTCAGTCAGTCAGTATTATTTATTAAAGTACAGCGTACATACTTGGTGTCGCGTTAAGCATGACCAAGGTAGAATACAGGATATATAAAGATATGTGACAAAGTAGTGACAATACAGTAGAGTGATGTAAAATATAATAATAATACGATACACAGAACAAACCTAAGTATTACAGAATACAGAATAAAAACAAATCAATACAAATGCAATACATAACAGAACAGTACAATACAGAAATAAAACATGACAAGACAATAAAAGGTACAAAGACATGTAAGTGATGTAAAACCGGAGTAGAAGTATATGCATAGACAGCAGTATGGCTGGGAGTAACATGTTACAAGATCAAGCCGTTACAAGTGACAATTTGCAGAATTTCTTCGCCAGTCTGGAGAAGGCGAGATAGATATCCTTGTTAGCAAGTAGGTCGGAGTGACGGCATGGCCAAGTGGTGCCAAGGCTCTGTGATAGGATTCTAATCTCCAGTCGCTCTGCTTCAAGAGTGGGACAGTCAAAAATGTAATGAGTCCCGCTGTCCTCAACTTGACAGAAAGGACAAAGACGTGAAGGATGGTTGGTGAAGCGGGAGAGATAAGCACTGAACTTTCCATGTCCAGTGAGAAACTGAGTAGTATGGTAGCTCGGCGCAAACCAGTCAAGCTTCATAAAGTCACTAATGTTTGGAATATAGTTATACGTAATGCAGGTGTTATTACTGTTCCAAATGCTTTGCCAAGTAGAGAGGGTGTCCCTCCAGAGGAGCTGGCGTAAGGTGTGCTTGCTGATCTTGTCGTAGATGATGGGGATGGTATTGTCCGTGGTGGCTGCTTTGGCAAGCTGGTCCGCACGCTCATTACCAGGAGTGCCCTGATGGGCACGAGTCCAGGTAATGGAGATGGTATTACTAGTGCTGTTGATGATGTTCCTGATCTCAGTGGCGAGAGTGTGTAGATTATTGCCCTTGATTAAGGTGTGTGCGGATAAACAGTCAGTGATGATTTGGATGCAGCTGGAGGAATAGTTGTTTGTAGACCAGAGGAGGGCCATTTTAATGGCAAGAAGCTCAGCTTGGAAAACAGTGCATAAGTGGCTGAGACGATATTGCTGGGAGTATACTTCAACCTGATTGATGTAGGCAACAAAACTGCAGGCTACAGAGTCGTGAATTTTGGACCCGTCTGTGTAGATTTCCACAGTGTAGATTTGTGAGGTAGAGTTATCGAGGATTTTGAGATCATTTTCACCAAGAATGGTATTAGAGAATGGATATGGAGACTCATAATTATGGCAGTTGATCAAACCGGCACTGGTATTAATTTCTTCTCCTCGTTTGATGTTTTGTAGCTTCCTGTTGAGCTGGATAATCAGGTCAATGGGGGGCTTCCTGGAGATGATTTGAATACTGCGATTTGAAGCAGTACGATAGCATTTAGTAATGAGCATAAGTGCCCGGCGTTGAGAAGAGATGAGTCTTCGCTTTATGTGGACTTTGTTGGACGCCCAACCCCAGCTGCCACAGGCATAAGTAACCATGGGAATATAAATCTGGTCGTAGATTGTGTTCATGGCACCTGATGAGAGACCCCAGGTTCTTCTTGCTACCTGAGCAAATGCCTGCATGATTAAACCTGTACGGTTGGTGACAGCTTCAACGTGAGCATCCCAGGAAAGGCGATGGTCTAATACCACACCAAGGTATTTGAGGTGTTTTGCTATTTTGATGTTTTTACCATCCATCTTGATCTGGGGGACCCTTAAATAAAGATTGGGCTGGCCAGACTTATTAAGTACGATGCCTTTGGTTTTGAGAGGATTAAAGTTCAGTTTGTGTTTAATTCCCCAGTTGTGGATTTCTCTTAGCATGTAGCTGCCTCTGTGCTCGAGGTCAGCCCTAGAGCGACCCCCCATCAGGACTAAGACATCGTCCGCATATGCAATTAGCTTATCCTGACCAAAGTTCTGTTGAAGGAAAGCGTTAAATGTGATGTTCCAGAGGAGAGGCCCACAGACAGAGCCTTGTGGACATCCTCTGGTGATCCGTTTTTTGACGTGATGTTGGCCCTTTTGTAGAATGGCATACCTGTTATTCAGATAGTCTTTCGTGATGTGGTACAGATTGGTGGGGCAGTGGAAGTTTCTCAATTGATATAAAATCAGAGGCCACCAGGTGGAGTCGAAGGCCTTGGAAATGTCCAAGCTGACCGCGAGCACATATTTGTTGTTATTCAGGAGGTCTTTAATGGTTTCAACGGCCATATAAATAGCGTCTTCAGAGGATCTTTGTGGTCGGAATCCATACTGATTGTTGTCGAGTAGGTGGTTGGTTTCAAGGAACCAGGATAGTCGATTGTTTATTAAGCGTTCCAGAATCTTGCCTAGTACAGGCAAGAGAGAAATGGGACGAAGATCCTTGGGATTGCCCGGTTTAGGAACCGGGACAATCCTAGCCACCTTCCAGGGATGTGGAAAGATGCCAAAGAGTAAGCATTTGTTATACGTATTGAGAAGGATGTCAGGGATGATTTTCCAGAGGTTAGAAGCGATTTCGTTGGTGATATCATCTGGGCCAGGAGCCTTGCCACGCTTCAACCCCTGGAAAGCGGCTTCTACCTCCCTACTAGTGAAGAGGTGAGTATTTGGTGTTGTTGAGGGTTGCTCAATTTCAAGGCGTATAAGTTTCTGCCAGTCAGTGTCAAAATCTATGTTGTCATCAGGGCTAAAAGAGTCAAGCTTTTTAGATAATACATCGAGAAAGGTAGGGGCAGGGCTGTCCTGTTCAGAATCTGTGCACATTATCTCAGTTTTCCTAAGTTTGTTGGTACACATCCTCGTGACAAAGCCCCAAGGATTACTTGAGGCTCTGCCACAAAAATCACGCCAGCTGTTCAGTTTAGCATTTTTAATAGCAGTCTTGTAAGATTTTTGATGGTTGAGGTACTGCCTTTTATTCTGTTCTCGAGTCTGTTGGTCTCTGCTTCTTTGATATAACCTTCTCAGACGCCTATGTGCTTTGCGTAGTGTAGACAACTCCTGTGTCCACCAGGGGACTCTTTTCCTGTTGTTAGAAGTCTTTGGGATGTATTTATCACACGCCTCACAAATGATATCAATGTTGGTATTAATCATTGCACGTGCTTCGTCCACATCGTTTGTGTCAGAAACAATCAGGTGTGTTCTGAGATATTCTTCTATGTTTTGCCAGTTAGCAAGAGACGGACGATATTTAAGTAGTGGAGTAGCGACAAAGTTATGTGCGTCCTGATGATTAAGGTTGAAGGTAATGTAGGCATGCTCCGTGAGGCTGTCCTCATCAGTGACTCTCCAATGTTGAATATTGGAGTAAAGGCTGAGGCTACAAACAGCAACATCAATCCACGACTGTCCTCTACTAGAGGAGAACGTGGGAGGAGAGAGAGGGTTGTTTAAGATGAGGAGGTTGTTGCGTGTAAAGAATTCTTCCAGGATTTTGCCCCTGCGGTCCAAGTTGTCCCCACCCCAGGCGGGTGAATGAGCGTTCATGTCACCAGCAATGAGAATTTGTGCATCTTTGAAGCTATCAATAATGTTCTGTAAGTTGTCGGTGATCTCGTTGATATCGTTGTCGCCAGGGCAGTACACATTAATAACAACAATTCTGTGTGAGCAAAGGGCGATCTCAAGACAGATCAAATGTTGGTTACTGTAGTCGAGGTGGTGAAGGATGGATAAGTGTTGATTCGGAACGAGGGTGATGGCCCAAGGGTAATCGTCAGTGCCACAAACGTATGGACAGGAAGTGGGTAGGCAGGCAGGAACGTTTTTTATACAGTAAGGTTCTTGCACCAAAATGATATCATAATCATTGATGTTAGAGGTAAGCTGGCTGGTAGCAGGAATACTCCTACCCAGATTTATTTGCAGAAAACGGATGGAGTTTGTGGCGTTAAAGTCCATAATTAGTTCTTTCTGTGATGATGTTTTTAACCCGTACACGAACAGGGCAGCAGCTCTCCCTGGCATTATGATCAGAACTACCTGTACGTTCCTTGTGGCAGTTCGTACACTTGGGAGTATGCGCTCGATTTGGGCAATCCCTGTAGGTGTGCTCCCCGGCGCAGTGACTACAAGTAGGAGTAGCTTGCTGACAGCTTTTGGTGGAGTGGCCGAATCTGCAGCATCTGTAGCACTGCAATACGGGGCAGAAGTCGGCCACTCTGCAACGTGACCAGTCCAAGTTCACTTTATCCATTTTCAATAGCTGTTTGCGGAGTTGAGGAGAAACCTCAACAACCCAGTTACTATAGGCGGCGTCTTTTTTACCAATATTAAATTTGATTTTGAAGTGCTGAAGTAATTTGTCTATGTTGTAATTTTCACTTATGATATGGTTTTGTTCAAGAAGGTAGTTTGGTAGTTCTTCCCGGTTGATTCTGTTAGGAACAGAATAAATTACCATGTGGGGATTTTTATTTTTGGGTCTTTTTGTTTCGAAGTCAGGAAGACATTCCTGAATGTTCTTTTCTAGAGTTACAATATCTTCTTTTTTATTAAGTTGTACAGCAATACCCCCTCCACCTATGTGGCGAATACGCTCGATACCTATCTTCAGTTTTGCAGGCTTAATGTGACTCTGTATAGTTTCCTGGATGTGTTTGCTGTTTTTATTTTCACACTTACTGTAGATTAACAGTACATCCTTAGTGGGTTTAGTCCTCTGGATGTGAGTGGTGTCGTTAGATTTTCCAGTTTTTAGAATGGTACTGTATAGGGGTAAGGCAGGTTTAACAGGCTGCCTAATAGCCTCAAGTTTAGAGAGTTTCTCTTGAATTTGTTTCTGAGATTCGATGATGTCAGTTTTTGAGTCGTTTTCTATTAATTTGTCAAGTTTTGTGGAGATAAGTTGTAAATGTTGTTCAACAGAATTGTTGGAGAAGGCGTCAATCGCCCTTTCGAAGCAGTTGACAATGAATTCCCCATGACAAGGTGTGCCTAGCTTGGCTCTGTTATTATCAGCCATATATTGCTTTAGTTCCTCCAGTATTGAATATGCTTCTAGTTTGGCACGCTCCATGGTATTGATGAGGATTAGTGTAAGAATGAATAGAACGGCCCACTTGCCAACACTTTTTTGATGTTGTAGATCAAGGTAAAGGCCAATAAAATGTTCAAGAAGTGAAGGATCAGATGAGTTATAACACGAATTAGGGTTAGTTAGGGGATCTAGGTAGAGCACGTGGCGAGGTCGATGTCCTTTGTTCTTCCAAGGGTTATCGAACGCGATAACTCAAAAAATAATCGACATAAACGAACGAAACTTTGTGTTAATACGTACTTTGAAGCCGTCTATCCGGTGTATAAAATCCTCAGCGGATGGCCTAATGGATCGGCCAAAAATACAACTGGAAGTTGGCCAGAAACAGTCGTAATATACTGCAAAATAAATGACGGAACGTCACGAGGAAAATATCTTATGAACCAGGTTGAAATAGCGAGGAAAAACTTCACGTCGCACTTAAACCCAAAGCGCTAACAGTGGGAGAAACGGTTGTCCAATATCGACCACGTGGTCGCGGGCAGAAGTGAGCCACAACAGTCGAATCCCCTATAACACTGTTAATTATTCTGTTTTATATGAATTCCATGTTGTACGAGTCACTTAGATTTTACAAATACGTGTGCCAGGTTGTGAATGGTTCACATGTTTGTTAAGTAGAGGAGTTTATTAACTGAGGTTTCACTGTATTATTATTGTATATTAACTGTCTCCTATTCAGTTGATACTTGTGCTTAACACTTTGCTGGTTAAGGTCAAGATGTTTTTTTATTGGATTGGACCAAAAACCAGACTAAGTAGTCTGTAAGTTCCTTTTCTGTGGGAATGCTATTGTGCTGTGATTGTGTGGTGGATTGGTATGAAGTATAGTCATACTATTGATATATACTGGCTTATAATTGTTATTACCTATTTTGTCAGTTGAATGTTATTAATGATCTAAATTTAAACTTATCATTAGCAACCTAATGACAAATTTAAATTATTAATAACATTCATAAGCAAATTTCTGATTATACTAAGGTGAAATTTTGTAAAGTTATTTAATTTATCTTTTGAGATTTGTTGATTCTGTAATTTTAGACAATTGATAACAATATTTGCAATTACAAGTTGCATCTGTTTATTATATTATATTATATTGTTAAGTATTATATAAGAAAAATTAATTTCTGAATTTAAAGTTTTAATTTTTATAATTTCTATGACAATTTAATATTTATTTCTATCTTACTTTTGATTAAGGCCTATAAGAATGAATCCAAACATTAAAAACTGTATAGTTTTTTTTAATTAATTAACACTCATTTTTAATTTCAGCTATTTCACGAAGAAGAACAATTACGTTCTCAGAGAATACAATTACTGCAAACACTTCAAGGTATTTAGCTACTTTAGCTATTTAGATTTTTATTATTATAGTAATTAAGATTATTAATATGTTGGGTTTAGTGGGTTATACTCGGTTGACACCGGTGGCTGTGTACTATGTCGGACCAGAGTCAAGGCATAGTAACCAAAACAAAACAAAAGTTAAATAAAACTGTGTCAGTGTGTGTGTCTGTATTCAAGAATTTCCTAACAATATGACATGTTGTTATTATTATTATTATTATTACAAATTATGATCATAACTTGACTATGCTACTTTGTGCATCTGTTGAATGCTTTTTGTATTATAGCTGATGCACTTTCCATGGCTTCTACTGTCTAATCTCAAAAGTCATTAGACAATAAAAATATTCTTTCATTATTCGAATTAATATATTTTATAAATGTAAATATTTGTCAACAGTTTTATTTAAGTTTTTTCTTTAAATAATATAATATAACTAAATATTTTTACAGAAATGCAAGATAATCAAGAGGGATTCCAAGCTGAGAATGTACCTAGCCACACAGAAAATATGAATTCTTCAAATGAAACAGTAACTCCAACATATTCAAATCTTGCAGACAATTCTTACCCTACATTATCAACAGATAATAATGAAGGTTCTTTTACATTTATGACCTCTCAATCAACAGTACAATCTACAGATTCAAAAACTGAAGTGCAAAGGATAGAAAAGATAAAGGACAAAGTTAAAATACAAGAAAGTGAAAAAAATGTAGTAAATAAAATAAAAATGGATATACCAAGGAAAAGGGTACTTAGTTCAGAAGAGTCTTTTAAATCCATGGAAGGAAATGTATATTTAGAAAATAATAATAATAAAAGCAAAGAAGGACTTTCTGCAAAAAAACTAAAATTCAATGAAAATGCAGCATCACCTGAAATAATTTTAATGGAAAATCAGTCTGAAAATCCATTTATTAATTATAACAACAAAATGCAACAATTTTCTTTCTGTGAAAAAGAAAATATGTAAGTAAATAATAATAATATACTAACTAATTATATAATTTTATTCTCAGTATACTTTGAAAATTCTATTAAATTGCTTTGTTTACGAAATTTTTAATGTAAGAATACATTCTTACATTAAAAATTTACATTAAAAAAAGAATACTATCTTAAATTGAAGTTTTGTAGAAAACATATTTTTCTACTGTACAGAAACATGAGAGAAGATTATCAAATATATAAAATATGTGATTGTTTATTTACCATTGCATACTTTATATTTTTTATATATTAATGTTAATTTGATCAAATTTGTTAAAGTATTATGAGATCATCTTTTGAACTTATTAATTTATAAGCATTCTGCCTATACTGTTCCCCAAAGTCATCTCTGTTGTCTTTCAGGATAACCCAAAATTTACTCTAATCTTTTCATTTTAATGAAATTCATTAGATGGATTTTTTTTACAGTTATGATTTATTTAGTATAATAAACCCGAATAAGATGGAATCTTGCTTAAACAGAAAAAACTTTGGAACGGGGCAATTTTCTATATTAAATTTCACTATAAGTTGGAAACCTGTCTAGCTTGAAAACAAAACAGCTTTTTGGTATGAAGAATCTGACTTAATCTAAATAAAGTGCAATATTAAGATTCCACTTTAGCCAAATAAGTAAAATCATTTTCAAGTATAATAGTCACCATAGAGCATGACAAAATGTATTCACATTATAAGAGTATTCATATGGACACATTTTTGTTGATATTAATCCTTGTTAGAATTAACCAGGAGTAGAATCAAATACTTTTAAGAATTGACGACTTTAAGTTTTGATTGAGTTCCCAAGAATTGAATTCTCAAGAACAGGTGATAAATGTAATTCATTGAAAACAGTGCTGCCAATTTGCTTTGTACAGACTATGAGTAGTTAATAACTAACAAATACCAAATATTTGAGAACAAGTTGATTAATACTGTTGATATTTACAGAGATTGAAGTTAACAATTAGAGTATTAAAATTCCTCAAGAAGTCATCACAAAATAACTGGGTCTCTATAGTGAGATTGAGAATTTTTGACAGCAAAGCAAGACAATTATTCTTTTGTACTCAAATTAGCTTGTTCACTATCATGCAAACTCAAAAGAATCACATTTAAGAACTTTTAGTATTCAAATAACTAACACCAGCTCTTGATAACAAGGAGAACTTTTTAGAATCAAATAGTTGCAATTCTTGTATTTAGATATGCCCATTTTTAGTTGAAATCATAATGGATAAGTTAGAATTTACTCTAGTAATAAAATATTACTTATATAATAAAAGTAATTTTACTATAAAAATGAATGTAACTGAGTGACATTTACCTGGTATAGATTAAAGATTAATGAAGTTATAAAGTATCAAATAAAAGAAATGAAAATTTGGCAAAAAATAAAAATCCACTATTTAATGTGTGACACTGTTAACAGCTTTATTATCAAATGTTTTGTGACAGTCTAAATTCAAGCAAAATGCTAAAATACTTGTAACAACAAAACACATTACAGATAGTTTCCACTTTACAAGTTCTTAGATTTATGAATTCACTTGATGTTTGAGATAATAATTAGTCCATATAGATATGAAAAGTTGTAGATAAGTATAAAGTTGTATAAGGACCACTGTGAAAGTTTCCAGATACACAAAAACCATTGAATGCAAGAAAAAACAGGTCTGTGATGCTTTACTGCTAAACATTTTCTGAGCACAAGTTCAACAATATACCTGTGGCTTGAAATTTCTTGCATGTGGAAAGTGCCTGAAGGCACCACATCTGAAGTTGAAAATAGAGTTGACATGGGAGCATTTCTGAGCAATGATGTTTTATGACTAAATCTGGGGCCATATTCTGGTCACTTATCTCTCGTCTCTTCTTTCAAAGATGAATGACGTCAAAACGAGAGACGAAATTCATCTCTCAGAGACAGTGGCGATTCTGGTCACTTTTAACGATCTTGTCTTCATTGATGAGATCATGATTCTACTAGGTTGATTATACATATTTGGGTTATCTGCACGTGCAACATGATATAGAATTTTAACCAATAAAATTGTAAAATTTTCAAAAATTCAGAGTACATATTTATAGATTACATGGCAAGGAAAGCACGTGTTCAAATAAAGCATGTAATTTTGACAAAGTTATGTTTTTTGTTTTATAACATTTTTACAGATTGTAATGCCAATTTGTCTCTTAACAAATAAAAATTTTAATAACCTAAGTTAGAAAAGCGTGTGTGTACTTAGATATTTTTTGAAATATTACCATCTAATTTCTCCTTAACTATCTAAGTAAGATTAACATCATATTCAATAGTTCAATAATTGATGTAGGATAATTAAAAAAAAAAAAAAAAAGGAATCATTGACCTTTCTGAGTAGGCGCTGGAAAAAATCGAAAGCATTTTCTCTCTCAAAATATTCTTTTTCAAGATAGAAAACGTTCTGTAATACGATTGTACAGTGTGAGTAGCATCCAGTCGTCCATATTGGATATGACAAAATTGAGGCAAAAGATGAAAGACAACTATTTGCTTGTTTCTGAGAAACGAGAGAATGTTTGAGAGAAAAAGTTGTCCAGAATCGTGTTTGGAGAGACGCGATGATCTCTTGAGACATAAACAAATGATTAGCCAATCAGTGACTGGCTTATGAGAGATGATGACCAGAATAAGGCCCCTGGTTTGTCAGAGTCTCAGTGCCTCTACTGTGTGCAAGCAACATTTCCTGATTCTTGTCCATCAAGAGTGCATGTATTTTGATGGTTTGGAGAATTTAGACATGGAAAAACAGCCTTAAAGATGAAGAGAGAAGCAGTCAACCTGCAACTGCAGTGAATGGAAAATGTGGCTTGTGTCAAGAAACTTCTTAGAGAAGACCCTGTATAACCCATAAGGATATCGAGCACAACTTTGGTTATTAGATTTATTAGATTGGTGGCAGTGAATGATATCTTGCACAATCAGTTTAATGTCAGGAAAATCATATCTTGATGGATACCTCATTCTCTGATTGAATAGCAAAAAGAAACTCATGTGGAATGCGTCCACTATATGCTGGAAAAATTTCAGCAGGAAAGCTCAAAATGTGTGGGACATTGTCACTGGTGACAAGACCTGGATCTACTAGTACGACCCCAAAAGCAAGACTTGGGTTTGGGTTTTCTCCAACAAAGCACCCCCTGTCAGAGTCAAATGTCTAAGAAGTGTCAGTCGGAAAATGGTAGCGACATTCTTCAGAAGACAAGGTCAAGTTACCATCATAGCCCTTGAGGATAAGAAGACAGTTAATGCTGAGTAGTATGTCACCATTTGTCTTCCTCAAGTTTTTCAAGAAATCCACATATGGCACCCTAAAACAGGCCTTCGTGGACTTTTGCTGCACAATAGCACATACAGCAATGAAAATGGTGGCCTACTTGAGTGGCTCTGGAGTGCAATTGGTCACCCAACTACATTATAGTCCAGATTTAGCACTATGTGACTTCTTTCTGTTTCCCAAAGACAATGAGATCTTCCAGAGATGTCATTTTGGGATTCCGGAAGAGGCAGTTGCTGTGTACAGAGACCCGTTGGTATATATCTCATAAGAAGACTGGTATCAGTGCTTCCAGAGCTGGTTCTCCTGTATACAATGGTGCATTGAGCATCAGAGAGAATACTTTGAGAAGATATAAGGACAGACAGAAAGTAACAACAAACAGGGTCATTGTATCGGGAAACTTTCAGAGTGGCCTTCATAATATCATTATTTATATTATGGTTCTCCTATTGTAACATGGATATGTCACTACACTGTAGATATACATACAGTATATGTTACATCTTCAATTCTCAAATAATTTTCTATTTTAATACTATCGTGTATTTTAATTATTAAAAAATTATTTAATAAAAAAAATTACTTTTATTTTAGCTGCATTTTTGATAATCTCTTATTTAGTTGTTTTGTTTTTAAATTAAACAAATAAGTACCTATTTAAAAAGATAACTTTTGATATTGAAGTGTCTAAAACTAAATAGTTTTTTTGGAAACATAGGCAATAAATAAATTTTAATTTATTTAAATTATAAAGTTATTTTTTATTGAATATAAACATTATATTGAACATAAGTGAATAAATTGAAACTTGAGAAACTTTATTGAATATAAACATTTTTACTTCTTTAATAAGAAGTAAAACAAAAAAAATATTTGAGAATTATTTAGCTTTTTTCTTTTACATAAAACTTTTTCACTAGAATCTGTGTGTTATGAATTATTAAATTTTTCTGTTGTTATATCATGAGCTGTGTTGATACTCTCAAACAATTCTTCTATAGTTGTAACATGCTGAATCTAATTTTTCCACTTTTCTTTAGTAAGTAATTGAATGGCTTGGTTTGCTAGATTCTCAATATCACAATTTAAATGATTTATTACTTTGAGCCAAAAATCCCTTAATCTGACTCTACGTCATTTTAATGAAGTTTAACTGACAGTAATATGGACAAAGTCTTGAAATACAATTCATCAATTTGATAAATCCATCATAGGCAGAAGAAGTTAAAATATTGTACATAAAATTTACATGCATAAAAAAAGAGGCAAATAAATCATTCCTAGATATTGCAAAATCTTATCTATTGCATTAAAAGTTTTTATTACCACACAATAAATATTAATTTATATCAAGAGTTTAACATTATTTCAATAAGTTAACAATAATAATTTCATTTTTAATTTGCAAAATTTCATTTCTATAGATTTTATATAATTTTAAATTTGAACGTCACTTATGTATTTTTTCATCCAGTGTTTTTTCCTGCAATGCTGTGTAATCTGAACATTGCTATTAAAAATAACTGAAAGCATCAATTTGATTAAAATATTTTACTGAATTAAGTTATTGTTTTATTAATTTTTCTTTACTTTATTTGAAAATCATTGAATAAGAAGAAATTAATGCTAATTTATATATTGAAAAAATATTTTAGAGTGAATTCTGACAAAAGTAAATTGATACTCTGGATCCTAATAGTTTTTGATTTTATATCTCATATTGCTTCAAAATTTGTTTAAATTCTAATTAATTAGTTCTTAACTGACTGATTTCCATTGCTAATAAAATTATGCGATTAATTTTATTTTAAACCAATGTAATACAATTCTTATATACAGTACATATGTTTTTAATAACTATTTCATTTAAATATTTATTATTTCAGTGAAAAGTGTAGTAATTCTTCAAACTGTGAAACAACTAAAGAAAACTGCAAAAAGAATTTAGAAAGTAAGTTATTATAATTCAGGAATTCTATGGAATAAGGTACTCAAGTTAAATTTTGATGTTTTTGAGAATTCTCAAAAACTTTTCTTTTTCCATGAGGTTTTTTATGAAGTGAACAGTCTAAATGTTAAATATGTATGAGTAAAGTACATATAGCAAGAGGAATATATCTATATCTATAAAACCCTATTTGATGTGCATAATAAAACATTTAACTGAAAAAAGTATCTAAGTGCACTTAGGTATAGTACCTTATTCCATAGAACTCCTCAATTTTGTCTTACATTTTTTTAAGAGTTTGTAATTAACTATAAAAATTCAATTAAAAATGTTTAAAGAAATGTACAGTTTAAAAAACTTATACTAAAAGTGTCTTTAAGTGTGTATTTTTTAATAATTATCTTTAAAATACAATACAGTAAACCCATGCTTTATGATTCCTTGTTTTTACAACTGTACAAATTTTATATTATTATATTATTTATTTTTTGCTCACAATGTTGTATTATATAGTTTAGGCAGTACTTCTTAGAATAGAACCTCAGTGTATGATTCTAAAACTATGGGAAATCTGAGTTTAATTTATAATGGCTTGTTTAAAAATTTTTATTTATTTATTTTCAGAAACCATTAATGTTTAGAATCTACTATAATTTAAAAATAAATTTAAGTAAATGAGAAATTGCTATGCTGCATAATTGTATAAAATGCTTGAAATAGAAAATTTTAGTTGGTGTAAATGTTTACTTCAATTATTTATTTATCATAGTTGCTATAGTTAATGTCCTAATGAACAAGAAAGAACTTTATCCTAAATAAATCCTGAAATAAAAGCAAAAATAAAAACAACAATAATGATCACACACAAACAGGCAAAAGTACAATAAAAACAATATATAAAAATTCAAATATTCAAATGGAGTACAATAAAAATATTCAGTTTAAAGTACATTAAAAAACATTCAGTTAGATTACATTAAAGTTTTACATGTCTTTTTGAAACCAGAAAGGGATAAATAAAGTAAGTTCTTGAGGTCAGTTGTTGAAGACATTTCCTGTGTAAAAAAAAGTGTCAAGTTAGACTTAGATGACATTTTTAAGTAAAATATATGCAAAAAAAGGCATAATTTTTCACATGTACAACCACTCCTCACTTTATGATATATCTTTAATGACTGCTTGGACTTGTGACCACTCTCCCTTTAATCTTAAGTTGGTTACACATGTATTGATACCTATCAGATAACTGGTACATGTGTAGCCAGCTTTTGTCTTGTTCCTGTAGCCAGTCAGTATTCATTACAGAAATTGTTCACAATCTGCAAGACTACATATTTTGTTTATTAGTATGTACTTTATTGTGCATCCATTGAAGGATTTGACTATTAAAATATTAATCTGAATGTCGTCTTAATGAATGAACTTTAATTTTTTTTGGTACACATTATTTTTATAATTTTTACTGATTGTATTTTTGTTTTGTAATATGTAGGAGATATAAATTAAAACAAAATTATCAAGTTGGAGTTTCATTTAGTCCTTTATCTAGAAAAAATGTAAATGATTTAAGTTCGTGTTAAAAAGAAAAAGTCATTCAGATTAATATTTTAGTCATTGAATTCTTCAAAGGATGATAATGGAACAAGGTCATTGGTGCCATCATTGGAGTTGTTAGCAAAGTTATGAAGGGCTGTAGAGGATCTGGATAAGGGAAATAACTGCAAAGAAATGGAAATACTTTTAGGGGAAGGTCTGGGGTGTAGCTTTTGAGAAGAATTTCATTAGTGTGATCTGCTTTGTAAGTTTCCTTTTTTCTACATAAATTTTACAACAGCATCATAAAAGTTTATTCATTTGCCGTTCCACTTACATAAACCATTTTACCTTTGGATTTATACTCTACTTCTAATATTCAATTTTGAACACATCAGCTAACTTTTTTACAGTGAACTTCTTTAATACTTTCTTTCTTTCCTCTTCATCCTCTTCCAAGTGCTGATATGCTTCTAATTGTATTGCCCTTCCTTTGATTCTTTGTGCTTTCTCCAGGTAATCATGCCCTTTCTTTTTGCTGACATCTTTTACTATGGAATGCACAATAAAGTACAAATTTATAAACAAAATATATAGTCTTGGAGATTGTGAATGCTTTGTGTGGTAAATAATAATTGACTGCAGGATCTAGACAAAGACTATGAAAAGGGAATTCCCTGTGCTAGAGAACTGGTTATGAACAAGTAGGTCATTAAGTGAAGAATGGTTGTATATTGAAACCTAATTTACTTATGAATTAAAGATGAATTATAATTTGAATAGTTAAATGAATACATTAAGAGTAAATAATAAATATGAAACAAGTTAAGAATAACTTTTTAAAATATATCCTATATAATTTTTAAAAATTTCTTAATATTACTATATTTTCAGATCTAGGGAGTTCATACTCAAACAATGATCATTTAAGTGAAAGCAAACATTATGATTTGTGTAATGATAGCAAGTCAGTTTTATTTTCCCAGGCAAAAAATAATGAAATTGATAAATTAGAAGCACATAATTCATCAATTGTTGATATAAAAGTAAGATTTTCTTTTAAATACTTTAAATTTAAATTACTATTTTATTGATTAACTAGTTTAATATAATAAATAACTAATAAAAAGAATTATAATTGAATGTATATAAAAGTTTGTTATCAAATGATTTTGTTGTTAAACTAAAACAAAAAAGTTTATATTTTTCTAATAAAGTAAGAAATGTGATAAATGAATGTTTATTTTATAGTTTAAACTTCCAAATTTTATTATTTTCAACCTGCTATTATTAAATAGTAATTGAAATTATTTTGTTAATTTCTCCTTTTGATTTAAAATATGATAATTTTTTACTATTGCCCAATAGAAGAAATTACACTCACACTGTTGGTATAATTTATTTTTGCAAATGAATAAAATATTTTTAGTGTATATATTCATTGTTTATTTATTATTCTAAACTTAATATGTTCTATGATTATTTATCCAAACAAATTCAGTTTATTGACATTGCTTGATAAATGATCAAAGTGTCAGTTTGTAAAAAGAGACTTAAGTGTATGTCTCTATTTTATGGTTGTTTTAAAAATATCTCAAAATATTGTTATTATTATTTAACAATAAATGATTAAAATATTATTTCTGATACTTAAAATTGTAATATTTTTATAGGGAATAAATGGTATTCCACATAATATAAATAATCCAAAAGTTTCTAGCAGATGAATCTTGAGAAACTGAAGAGAAAGTTTTTATTTTTTCAGGAAATGAATTAGTCATAAGTTTCAGAAAGAAAAATCACTAAAATAAACCCAAAATTACAACTGTTAATTTTCTTCAACAGCAACAACTGTAGCCAGACAGCACTCCCTATAATTATTTGAATTATAAGATAGGCAGTTAAGCCTCCATGTTACGTTAAATTTTATCACTGGTGTGAAGTGGTCCCCAGTAGTGGGGACCACTTCACTACAGACCAATTAATTTAAAATATATAAACACATTGATAAAATGGGGACCATTTTATGAATGTGTTTATATATTTTAAATTAATTGGTCTGGAAGTGAAGATTGGATAGAGATCCTGGTTGCATAACTGATAATGCATCTGTATAGTAAGCCAATCTTTTCTTCCTGAATATTCTAAATGAAATTTATTTATTACTAATGGTTAAATTAACTAATGACAGTTTAACTGCTTAACAATTAATTAGCCATATTATAACTTGATAAGAATTTGGCTATATTGTTTGACTAATAATCCAAAAGCATGTTTATGCTTCTTTACAAGAGGTACTATACTCATTGACAGAAAAAGTTTTGCACTAAGAAGAAAATGTTTGAATCAAAAGTTTATTTGTATGGATGTTATGAGACTAATGATGATGGTAATAAATGATTACAATATCATAGCAAAGGGACAATTTCTTGTGGAAGAACAGTGCAAATTAAATTAAATGAGCATTTAGTACCTTGTAGGACTTCTTACCTAGATATATGCAGCAATATAATCAGGCATGGAGGTATACAGGCATCTACATGCTGTACAGTACTCTAATACAGGAATTCCCAAACAAGGGTAGGGCCACATTACTAATTCTAACAATAGCAGTGGGCCAAAGTAATTTAATATCACACACACACACACACATATATATATATATATATATGTAAATTTAAAAATAAAAATTTGAGAACTTCATAAAAAATTAAGAAAATACATTGAACACAAATAATATATACAGTGGTACCTCAGGATACGAACACCCCAGCATACAAAATTTTCAGGATATGCCATGAAATTTGAACATATTTTTGCTCCATGATACGAACAAAAACTCACCATACGATGTTACATTAGTTCACAGTGCCATTTTTTATTCACTTCTGTTCATTGGTCTCAGTCCGTGTGTTTGCTTCGTTGTGGAAGGATCTCGCTCGATAAAGGAAATCTTGAGGTATTATCAGAAAGTGACTGATTTTATTGAAAAGAAACACCCCGAAAAGGTTCAAATTGGCTGTATTGCTGCTCGGAGTAATGACATTTGCCTAAGTCATTTTAGAAACATTTTAAAAAGTAGGCAAAGCCAAACCTCTTTGGATAGATATTTTACCAAGTGACCTCTATCCAGTGAAAGTGCTGGTGGAAGTGAAGGAAAGAAAGCAAAAAGCAGTGAATAAAAATGTAAAAAAAATATATATATATAAAACAACACTAATTTTTAAAATCTTTTCTAAGTTATTTTTAAGTTATTGTTACATTATGTTATGTAAGTTAAGTTTTAGTATCATTTC